CATTTTTTTCCTTTTTTTTGTTTGTTTGCTCCTGAACACATGGATATGCAACGAAAACAGGCTCTCATCTCTGAATCAGTTGAGAAAAACAACCATCAAAAACAATTGGCAATAGCACCAATAAAATGGTGAAGTAGATGACTTGTGTCAGCCATTTACAAAGTTCATAACTTACTTGTTTTTTAAATATTAATGTTTCAACAGGGTACTTTCTTGCAACATGATGATTCTCAGAGGCATGGTTTACAAAAGTTAATAGCAAATACACATACTTTAAAGATGCATACAAAGACAAAATATCACAAACAAAATTCCAAAGGAAAACATGCACAAATATAGTTCATAGAGACAAGGTGCAAAATTGCAATCTGAGCTGGCTGCCAATGCTACTGAAAATTGACTGTTTGCAACTAAAATGTTAATGTTACTAATGCTAGCAGTTATCCATTTAAGGTTTTCTCAGTATTCTTCATGCAAACCAGCACTCAGGAATGCAGAAATGAATCCATAATTTCTTACATCAACTTCTCATACTTGTTTTTAGCAAATCGTCAAGATCTTTTAAACTCTTTTGTATTGAATTGATGCTTCATGATGCTTCATGATGCTTCATTTTTGTGGAATCATTGAGACTTAGCAACAAAATCATTGCCTCAAATGGTGACTGAATCTAATTGTTTATGACAATTGGTGCCCAGGTTAAAAAAAGTTATTTTTAGACCCCGAGTTAACAATGAAATAAAAACAGAAGCAAGATAGCACTTCAGAGTAGCTCAGATTAATAACAGGAAGCTTGTAGGCCCTGGCAACTTTCAATTCCACAAGTTAAAAATTAAAATCATAAAAGTACCAGATTAAAATAAAATAAACAGTATACAGAGGTAACAGACTAATAGGATGAAGAAGTTACAAATTATGCTCCCTTGCATTTGATGCAGAATGAACAGGGACCTTTAAACAAAAACTGGGCAGAGAAGAGTTGTTTGAAGTGAAGCCATAATTGAGAGTTAATTAGAACTACAGGTAGACTTATCACACCATTTTGGGATTCAAACTTAATATATACTCTACAGCGTCATAGCAGTGACATTTGAAACAGCAATTACGGCGGCAAAAGGTACAATTAAGATCCAAAACTGTTTTCAAAATGGCAAATTCAATATATCAAAATTAACTTTAAGATAGAGATGATTCGATTTAAGTCAATACTAAAGTGAGCGACAGTTAAGAATTTATAAACTGTTAGGAAAGGAAAATGGGCAAAGTCGCGATCATGACTGCTTGTCACATTAAAACAACTCTGAGGAACTCACTTCAGCAAATGATATTCCAGAATTATGATTTACAGTGTACAATGTTTGAATCAGGTTTAAGTAACGTTTCATATCGGGTGTCTTGTCTTTGACATTTCGATTGACTTATATAAAGAATATTTCTGCTGGCCTAGATGCTTTTAAATGTGGTAAATTTAGCTTTAATTTGTAAACGGGTGTCGATTAAACGATACCCATTGCGTTGAAATCGATGCACTCTATGCAAGCTGTTACCGATGGATTCGAAGTTCGTCGATTTTAAAAGAACAGTCTCAATTAATTGAAATAAATCAAACGAACAACCAAACAACAATGAGATACTGGAAAAAAAATTCACAAGTACAGCTCCATATAAATAAACAGGAACATGATGACATAGACAACTTTCACGATGAAGCATTAAAGGTTGCTGACATGCTCATAAACAACTATAATTGTAAATGCCAATCTACAAAATTCTTCTAAGCAGCTCTAAACTATGCAATAATACATTTTATCAAGCGTATACGAGTTAGAATTCTTAACATCCAGTAAAACCATCTCATAAATGTATTCTCTCTTAAGTTGGCAAAGCAGAACCTTACCTCTATTTCCTCTTTACTCGACGATTGCACATGCTCGTGTTTAATGAAACTGAGCTACAGCTGTTGTACAACTTCAACTTAGTGAAATGAAATTTACATAACGAACTGTTTTATAAGTTCAGAGCCGAGCTGAAAGAAGGAAACACAAGGTTTCTTTCGCTGGAACGCGAACCTGTTTATTTTTAATTTCACGAGAGGACTGTGAAGCCGCGCTTCTGCACTCCACTCAAGCTTGCCAGTCACGTGGAAAGTTAATTTTTAACGCAAGCCGGAAGTGCTGAATGTTCCAGAAATATGTTTCATTGTTATTGATCGCTCCTTGTAGTAGTAATAGCTTGGCTCAACATATTATAGATGACCTTTATGCCACAAAAAGAAAGAGAAATGAACGACGAAATACTGAAGTAGAACCATTCCGTGACTCCTTGAGGACATGTTGAATGTTGCGTGACAAGTAGTAGTACTGAGTCACGGAATTACTCTCTAGTTGACTTAATTTCACTGACACATTTTATAAGCTCTCCAGTCAGGAAACGAGTGTATTTCTGTAATATTATTTCTGTTTGGTATTCATCAAGATCTGCCCACTGTACCAGGGATGAGGTTCACCTCAACCTGCTGTTGTAGTATCTCAAATCAGTTAGTCTACAAAATATGCATAAACGTCTGGACTATTCTATTGGGTAAAACGTATCAAGCGGGGCTACCTCATAATAACAAAACGAAAATTATTCCAGCAACACGAGTATAATTACAGACCGAATAGGACGACACGAAGTCTTATTACCAATTAATCATAAAAATGACAATTTCCAAACAAAACCATTGCTTTCTTCAAAAATATTGCCATCGTTCATTGGAAAAAAAATCTCCATTTTGAAGAAAGCCCCAATTTAGGAGTCTGTACATTGTTTAGATAGTGATGAAACCAAGGTTGTGATTGGTTGATTTTAAACTACAACTTTGAATGTAATTGGCTGATTTAAACTACAACTGTGAATGTGATTAGCTTATTGCCTGTTCAATAAAAACTTGGCAAGTCAATTAGCGGAAAACATGAATCTTTTTTAAACCAATTGCAATCGAGGATATTGTGATTTTCATGATTACAGTGGGTAAAAATGCGTTAAGCGAATGAAAGGTCTTTCCATTTGCTAATAAAATGTAATCGTGTGTGTTCTCTTCGCCTTGTGCAACGACACACTTAAATGGTCAGCATATGGAAACCTTAAAAATGTCTCTTGCTGTCAAGCAACTTCTCCCTGGGAGCCAACTATGTTGCAGATAAACGATAAAAATTCCAATTCAAAAAGATTTCAACACTTAATCTGTGGAACTGAATAAAAAAGCTTTATCTCGCTATTATATTCTCCATCTATAGACTAGTAGGTAAGTGGCTGACTCTTCTTATTACCGATTGCTATTTCAACTTATCCTTTACTCGAAGTTATGGAGCAACGTATCTCATCCAACAAGTGTTGAAGATGGCTCCACAAATTAAACATCCTTTGTGAAATAACATCGTAGCGCGAGAATTGAAAAGATAGGTTTCTATGAAATAAATGGGCGAAAATCAGTGGGCTTTCTTGCATCCTACTAGATTAAATCCATTTAACAAATAAACAATGAAACTCATACATTTAATACATTTCTAGATTTTAAAAAAAGAAGAGAGGGTGATGAATACGCCTGTACAAGTTATCTTTATGATCTCTTAGCTTGGCAGATCAACGACGTGTAGAAACACTAACCTCTGTGACAGATATCTTTCGTTCTAATGTTAGGACTGTTTTGATTTAAATTAGTAATCTGACTTGTTACTTTTCTTTTCATTAATTCTTTATCCTGACAGTCCAACTTCCCATATAACCTTATTTCATAATTGGAGTCCATGAAATTTCTAAGGTAATGAAGAAAGAGAGTATGAAAATGATACGACGCTCAAAAAGCAAAACATTACCAGTTCCGGATTTGATCTCCAAGTTTCTGTATAACAGAAAACATGTCACACAAAAGTGATTTTTTACAAAGTGTGACTTAACTTGGCAATTGAATCTCACGAAATTTTAGACTTCTGTCATAAGAAATATTTTCTAGTCTAAAACAACTATCGACTCAATCCAAGAAAAGTGATTTAAGTAAATTTTTAGTCAATTATCTCTGCCATTGTTGATCTAAGCGTTGAAAGACCTTGGAGTCGATGTTTAGTGTTTTTGTTTTTTTAGTCTCAACAGAAATTCGGAGGGTTATAGGTTTTTCTTTTACAATCCACGATTGAAAGATTTCGTTTTACATACTTAACCAATGTGGGTGTAAAGTTCTGTATCCACACACGTTCAAGGTAGGCATTTGGGAGAGTGTGCAATAGCCCAATGATTAAAAAAATAGGAAGAAAAAAAATTATCATAGGATAAAAATAGGCAGAGTGATATTTGCTCGTGTTCGATTCGGTTTTTATAGTTGACGTGGTTATCAATTTAGGGACTTGGTTTTTCTTGGCACAGACATATGCTTATTAACATACGTTGATCTTTCTTAATGCAGTTTTTCTGTTAGTTTCAACAATAATTCAGAGGGTCGTGGGTTTTTCTTTTTCAATTCACGATTAAAAAATATCGCTTTATATACTTAAGCAATCAGAAACACGAGTTAGACCCACCTCAGATTAGTCACATTACTTTTCCCGCAATTGACTGTTCGTTATGATGTCCATTTTGATTTGCGACTGTCAGTCGAAGCGCGTTTCAAAAACTGCTTTTTCGGCTGTAGAACTGCTCTTCTGGGCTGGACTTTAAGAGATTCACTTACGACAGTAGCATATCTTGCTTTAGTCGCACGTGCATGCTTTTTCTGGCCTTCTTATGGCTATTTGCGCGGTTTTTTATTCTCTGTTTCTTCCTTTATGTATTTTGCCAAGGGAAACTAATAGCCATCTAAATCATTGTGAATCGACTCGAAAACCACACCGGTAAAAAGACGACCGAATCGAGGATGGCTACACGTCTTTTTCACTTACCTTCAGACACATTCAATTTAAAAATGCAACCAAAATTTCTCCATGTAAATCTTATATTTCTATTGGCTCCTAGCATCATAACGAAGTGGAAGTCGTGTGTCAAATTCTACAACTCAGCAGGGGTTCCCACCAGACATGACCTCAATGGATTGGAGTATCCTTTAACAAGTACATCAGACTTTAAGGGTAGAGGGATAAGCGGAGGGGTGAGGAAAGTTCGTAAATTAGACTTATTCTGCGTGTACTTAGGGGCTTGCATTGGTGAAATACAGGCACGGTATTCCAACGGTTTTAACGTGTATTCCAAAAGAAAATTTCATATGGATGTAAATTTTACCATAAAAAAAAGGTTGCTAAAAAGCACTTGGAAAGCATGTGAAAATGACTTCGGCTGCACAAAGTGTTCTCACGTTTTTTAACTAGTTCTTGGAGCCTATTCGTGAAAACCAACGCATGCACTCTGTAACTTTGACACGAACGATCCGATTTTTTGATCACAAACCTTCCACTGACCGTTCATGGAGGAGTAGGGCTTATTTCTCAAACAGAGAGTGGTAGTCGACCTTACACTGGAAAAAATTCTCGTTAAAACAAATGCTCGTCCATCCTCTTCATTAGGGAAGAGTAAAACAATAACCCTTTGACAAAAGGATTTTGTGCCCAAAAAGAGAACTAGGCTGAACAAAGAAGAGACAGAAAAGCTATCGTGCGCGATGTAAGAAAGGAAAACATTTTTTAACATTTCGCAGTTTTATTATGAAGTTGTCCCAATGAATAAGACTTTGCTCCAACGAAGACAGTGTGAGTGCGAGCGGCCCTCAAGAGGACACAGAATTCTTCCACAAGACTTTTCCATTCTTCATCTGGCTTCTCAGGGATGTTACTCAGTCCATTCCAACAGACTGCAGAGACATTAAGGAGTATTTCCTAACAAGGGTAAGCCGACTCATTTTGAAATGTTGGACAGAAATGACAAGAGAATTAGTCAAACGCTTCCCAAAAATATTATCTTCTTCAAACTGAAAACGTTACAAAACTCTTTTTCACAGCCGCAGAAATGTTGATTATATCATAGTTTTCTCGGAATAGGCTCTCAGAGTTTGTTTTATGAACAAAATACTCAAAAGTTCGAGAACAAGGTTTTGTTTCTTGGTTGTAAGGTTTATTATTTAACTTTTTGGAGATGTACTGGTTTCGGAAATGGTAAAAACTTGTTTTTTTTTGTAACTATGTATATATCTCTCTGCAATTCGTCTAAACTCAGACGTGTCTTAACTCGACTAAAAATAAAGACAAAAGCTTTCTTTATTCTTTGCATACAATAATTGGATAAGTCTGCTCAGTTAATTTACATATTGACTTTGCTTAAAACGCAGTCGTGTTCTATAAACAAAGAGGGACTGATTGACTGGTTTACCTTGATTACAGTGATCACTGATCACATTGTAATGTGCTCCATATCCTCAGCGATGGGGATCTAAACCTTGTATTGGCTTGTGATACAAACGTCTATATGAAAGGGATGACAGAGAATCTTGGTTTTGTCACAATAAAGTTCCCCTGATGACCCCTAAAAGACTCTGTAATAGTCTTGTGACCCTACCCCCCTCCCGGCCTTCATCGGCAATTAATTGGCAGTCAATTTTCCATAGTATCCCCTTCATACTCTGTTGGCAATGACTGATTCCCACTCCATTCCCCACTGAAAACCATCCTCCTTCCAGAATCCTTCGCTCCCACCCCAGGAGAAAATGACTGGTTACCTATTACAACTGGTTTTTAAATCAACCAGATTTTCAAGGATCAAGGAATGGGACGGGCGGACCACACCCAACAAGTCGCTGAAAGCATTTTGCGTTTCTTCCCTGGCTTCGAAGCCTTCAAACTGTCACTACCATCTGTAAGTGAAGAGGTCATGAAAAACATCAACAGAAACAAAAGTCAGAT